TAAAGTCACAAGTACAAGTATGCGTTACCGACGTGATATACAAGCGATAGTTTCCTAGCTGTATATATTTTAAAAAGTGAGGATACTATGTGCAACAAATCCCATATATACATCATGATTTCTTAATTGTATTCGTTTGGGATAGAGGATATATATCGGCGGTGTGGCCGGTGTCGTGGGGCACGTGTTGATGTCTTAATCTAACGGTCCGGTGTTGATTGTTGCCTTTTACTTTTAATTGTTAACTCTACAGTCGTTTTTGGTTGTTACCATTGATCAACCCTCGAGGGTTTCGTTGCTCTAGGTTCTTTATTTTCCAAATACAACTGGCAACTTTCTTGTCCGATTCGTTGGAAAAAAAACTATATACACAAGTACTTTATAATAAATTCTGCACGTCATAATCATTATTTGTACATGTCTTCTCAAGAAGTGAGTGCGACGATATATTCCAATCAGATACGACTGCAAGCAATTGAGACCTGGCTTAGGCCCCGTTTAGATCCAAAATTTTTTAGATTTTGACTACGGTAACACTTTCGTTTATATTTAGTAATTAGTATCTAATTATGGACTAATTAGGTTCAAAAGTTTCGTCTCGTGATTTCTCACCCAACTGTGCAATTAGTTTTTTTTTTCCGTCTACATTTAGTACTCCATGCATGTGCCGCAAGATTCGATGTGACGGGTACTGCGTAAATTTTTTGGAATCTAAACGGGGCCTTAATTTCTATGATGTGAAATAAGAGGATTGGGCTTGATTCATTGATCTAGAGTGAATGATTATCGTTGTGTAAGAAAATCAATCGTTTTTGCTGTTGTGCAGATATTGTGCATTTTATTTTATTTTTAGGTGGCAATCAGAGGACCCACCGAATGCTCCTCAAAGAAGTTTGTTCCATCACTGTTGGCTTTGTTTGCCGTCACATAACATAGCCCAACCTCTAACCGCCAATAGTTTTCTATACTCTTCTGCTAAAGCTGAGCCATTTATACCCCCCTCTCTCTCCCCGCTCCTCTCCTCATAGTCATCCGAGAGACCTTCTCTCTCTGGCTACGGCCATGGTGCAGCAGCAGCAGCAGCAGCAGCACAGAATCTACATCTTGCAGTTCAGGAAGGGGGAGCCGGAGCAGGAGGTGGCATGCAAGGTGTCGCAGCCCAAGGGCGCCGGGCGGCGGGTCATGTACTACTACCAGGACTACGGCAGCAGCGGCGGCAAGAGCGGCAAGCCGGTGCAATCCAGGGCGCTCGGCCTGCGGCGCTTCTTGGCCATGCTCCTGCTCTCCTTCCTCTGCGTGGGGACGCTGTTCGTGGCGCCCGTGTCCTTCCTCTCTTTCGTGCATAGCGATGAAGGAGGCGCAGCGGCGGCGGCCGCCGCCGCGCGTGGCGGGGTGTCCGGGCCGTGCTCGTCCGTGGGGAACGACAGCCTCTGCTGCGACCGCACGTCGGAGCGCGCGGACATCTGCTTCGCGCGGGGCGACCTGCGCATGCACTCGGCGAGCGCGTCGTTCCAGCTCGTGTCCGCAGGCAATTCGACGGCGGAGGAGGAGCGGATACGGCCGTACACGCGCAAGTGGGAGGCGAACGTGATGGCGACGATCGATGAGGTGCGGCTGCGGCGCGTGGTCCCCGGCGACGCCGCGCGGTGCGACGTGCGGCACGACGTGCCGGCCGTGCTCTTCTCCACCGGCGGGTACACGGGCAACGTGTACCACGAGTTCAACGACGGCATCCTGCCGCTGTTCGTGACGGCGCACCACCTCCGGCGGCGCGTGGTGCTGGTGATCCTCGAGTACCACGACTGGTGGATGACCAAGTACGGCGACGTGGTGTCCCAGCTGTCGGCGTTCCCGCCGATCGACTTCACCGCCGACCGCCGCGTGCACTGCTTCCCCGAGGTGATCGCCGGGCTGCGCATCCACGGCGAGCTGACCGTGGACCCGGCGAGGACGCCCGAGGGGAAGAGCATCGGCGACTTCCGCAGGCTCCTGGACGACGCGTACCGCGGCCGCATCGAGTTCCTGGAGCGCCTGGAACGGCGCGCGGCTCGCAAGCGGCTGCGCCTGCGCCACCGCCGCGGCGCCGTGGTCCCCCGCGCGCCGCCAGGTCCGAGTCACGCAGACGACGACCGCCGGCCCAGGCTGGTGATCGTGGCGCGGACGGGGTCCCGCGTGATCGAGAACGAGGCGGACGTGGCGGCGCTGGCGGCGGACGTCGGGTTCGACGTGCGCGTGATCCGGCCGGAGCCCACCACGGAGCTGTGCAAGATATACCGGGAGCTGAACACCAGCGACGCCATGGTCGGGGTGCACGGCGCCGCCATGACGCACTTCCTGTTCATGCGCCCCGGGAAGGTGTTCATCCAGGTGGTTCCGCTGGGCACGGACTGGGCCGCCGGCGCCTACTACGGCGAGCCCGCGGAGCGGATGGGCCTGCGCTACGTCGGGTACAAGATCGCCCCCGAGGAGAGCTCGCTGTCCCGCGAGTACCCCACGGGCGACCCCGTGCTGACGGACCCCGCCGGCGTGGCGCAGCGCGGCTGGGACGTGACCAAGAAGGTGTACCTGGACCGGCAGAACGTGCGGCTGGACCTGGCGCGCTTCCGGGAGGAGCTCGTCGGGGCGCACCAGTACCTGCTGGCCGGCGGCGGCGGCGTGCGGCGGCGGAGAGCGCCCGAGTGATGATATGATGTGCGTCGGACGGTGCGTCGGACGGACGGGTTTGACCGGTCTCGATTAACAAACAACCATCAGCTCAATGAACATCTCCTCCTCTGGTCTCTCTGCTCTGCTATAGTTTTTCCCACCATTCCTTTTCTTTGGTTATACTGACTTGACCTGACAATTCTTTGCATTAGTTTTTGTGTCGTCCTGTACTTGTGATCTATCCATCCATGGTAAAAAAAAAAGCGAGCTTGCTGTGTATACATACACATATACTGAATAAAAGAATCAGTTACAGTGAACATAGATACATACATACTCCGACATACATAATGCAGGCGCCAACAAACAGAGGAGAGAATCACAGTTGTGCTGAGTTTGTTTATTATCTGAACTGAAGTCTCTGAACTCTGAAAGAAGCCATCCATCAGAGACATGAGGCGCCCACCCACTAGACAAGTAACGAGTTGGTGCTTGCATTGCAGTTGCAGGACGAAGGAAGGCTCGGAACCGCTTCTTCTTCACGCGAGTCGCCTTGTTCCGTGTTGGTTGGTTGGTTGGTTCGTTGGTTCTCCGGGGAGGGGAGGGGGAGCCTGCCGACGCCACCCGCCACCCGCCAGGCTGTAAGAGTTTGTTGAAACAGACTAATCAGCTTTCGTTAAGCGTCAATAAAGCCTGCTATTAGTGGCCCGTAAAGCGTCACCCATCGGGCCTGGCCTGGACGGACCCTAACGGCACGCACAGTGCCACGGCGATGCATCAACCGCACCTATCGCGCGCTCAGGCCACAACCACAACACAGCTTTGCTGCTGCTGCTGCTGCTGCTGCTGCTGACAACAACGACAGTCAGTCAGGCACGCAACAGGTGACCCGGCGGGGAAGAATAACCGCCCCGCATTCCAAACGGGGAAACTTTAACTCGCAAGTCACTCGAAAGTTTGGAAACCATTTGCCCAGGTACCGTTTAGCTCCTCCCAAAATGTCAAATTTTTCAAGATTTCCGTCACATCGAATCTTTGACACATACATGAAGTATTAAATATAAATAAAAAATAAAACTAATTACACAGTTTAGACGAAATTCACGAGACGAATCTTTTATGCCTAATTAGACTATGATTAAACACTAATTGTCAAATAACAACGAAAACTGCTACAGTGTCATTTTACCAAAATTTTCAGCATCTAAACATGCCCCCACTAGAAAGCGAAACCTTGAGATTAATCGTCGTCGTCATAGCACGTACTACTAGATAGGGCGCACTAGGTGCTAAAGAAACGCGCGCACCCGACACGGATGAGGAGATGATCGGTGGTGGCGATGACTGGCAAAGTCGAGTAGTGAGTGGAATGTCATACGTTGGGATATAAGTGAATTGTCACCACCTCTCTTCGTCAGCTTAAGCTTTTGGGTTGAATTGGTCGGTGGTGCATGCAATTTAATATGGTATTAAAGTCCGATATCTCGAGTTTGAATCATGCTTAGCGCAATTAAATGAAATAATTGTTTCCACCAAGAGGAGGAGGATCGGTGGGCCGCGCGTCAGCTTCGCCTACGCGTGCGCGCGCCCGAGCCCGCGTTCGCCGTCGTCGTCGGCGGAAGACTCACGGAAGATTCGCACGCACGCCATGCCGTTTGATTGTATTTCTGACGAACCCTCAGGAAGGAAGCAAGCTGCCCATCGACGTCGACGTCGACGCCGGCGATGGCTTCGGGCGCACGCGCACTGGCACTGCCACGTGTGGTGGCTTCGTACCCAAGCCCAAGGTTACAAAGTGCAGCGGTGGCCTGGTGCGCAGTGTGGGACAAGCTGGCTGGATTTCTTCACAGTGTGAAAAATTCTGATGGGTGCGCCGGCCTCGGGATCTAAGCTCTCGGTCCCTCGCACTCTGCTTCCTGTTCCCCTGAATTTGATTATTTGAATGAAAAAGAGGAGCAGACAACGAGCGGGCGAATAGCCCACCAAAGCATGGCATGCCGGCCCAATCATCTACTCTGCAGCCCATGAAGCCCAACAAAATAGACCGTTCGGCTCCAACAGAGCAAGCCCATCTGGCATCACCTCGAGCCCACACCGAGCATTTACTACCGACAGGTGGGCCCGAAGAACCTCGTGCTCGTCCGGTCCGGCTCCCCAATCCAAGCCGCCTCCTCCGATCCAAACCCAACCGGAGGGAACGGGTCTCTCTCTCCTCGGCTCCGGAAGCCTATTCCGTTTCCGTCTCTTCCTGGCGTCCTTTCCTCCGCACCATCGCCGCCCCGATTCCCCGACTCGGCGCGGGCGAGACGTGGATCTCGGCGAAGGAGACTCCGACCATCGCTCCCTGTCGAACCATGGCGGCCGCGGACTCCGACTCCGCCATCTCCACCTCCACCTGCCCGCACTGGTAACACACACTCTCTCTCTCTTGCTGGCCTCCCTACGCTGGGAATCTCTCTCTCGCTGGCCTCCCTCGCCTTCCCAGCGTCTCCGCCTACCCACCACAGGTCGATTCCTTCGTCCGCCTCCGCCATGCCGACAGGATAGGATTGGGGTCGTCAACCGTTGCATATTTACGATACTGATTTGTTCGCGTGCGTCGCTGCTTAATAATAGGGTATATAGTTCAGGCTTGTTTTGTGATGATTAATTACACATGACATGCCACGTGATACCGTTGCTCTGTGGATTACCTTCTGCAAATTGTCGAACGATCAGTCACGTGTACATATATAATCAGTTTTACCAGTATCGTATCAGGTACTTGTATGATTACCACAATGTCTGGGGTATGGTTTTTAGTCAGCTGTTCATACATTATTAACTGTGATTCTTCCCATACAGCCATGTTCTTTATTTAGTCAGCTGGGGTTAAGTATGTTGATTACTGACAATATTTCTCTGTTTATTCTATATATAGTCTGCATGAGATTCCATCGTCAAACATTGCATTGCACAGCGCACACTGTGCTCGGAACCTTCAGAAGTGTGAACATTGTGGAGATATGGTTCCGAGGAAGCTTATGGATGAACACTACGATGAAAACCATGCTCCGGTATCTTTCCAAACTCCAAGCTTCTCTCAGATTCATTGTTTGGAGTCCCCGAATCGTTTTCACTGTCAATTCATAATTATAATATTGCTGAAGTTAAGCGTTACATTAAGAAGTACAGAAGCCTGCATTACTGTTCAGCCTTTTCTTTTCCTGAGTTCTTATCTTACTCTAAAGAAGCTGCAACATTACATGAACGCATATTTACAATTATTATGACACCAATAGGTACAATTGCATTAAACAATTATGACTGTTCCTTTATATGCTTATGGTAGGCAACATAATTTCTTGTAACCACTAAGGTAATGTAAACAAATGAAAGCGTCTTCGTTAGCAACTTAAGTTAATGTAAATTGTAGATAAATTAGAGAGATGGCAATAGATGTACGCCTTCCTGTTTTTTTCTTCCCTTTTCTACCACCTCTTAATTTACTAATTCATCTTCACCACTAATCTTATTACGGATACAGATGAATTGCTCACTTTGCAAACACAAAGTAGAACGTGAGCTATGGGATCTTCATACAGGCATACAATGCCCGCAAAGGATGCTCGCATGCCAATACTGCCAGTTTGAACTGCCTGCAGTCGATCTTTTTGAACATCAGGTATGGATATATCTCACATGGTAATTTATTATTCAAGAAACTAGTTTTGGATACAGTTCTCAGTGTTCTAATTAGGGTGGGTGTGCTACAGGATGTGTGTGGAAATCGAACAGAATATTGTCAAAGTTGCAGGAAGTATATCAGACTTCGTGAATGGATTGGACATGAACTCCAGTTTCATACGATTTTAAATGCTGCATCAGAACTTTCAAGGTAACCTTCCAACTGATTAGTAACTCCAGTTTCATACCTTCAATTTTCAAGACAACATTCAGCTACATCGGTGTTATTAGTAACTTGGCACTCCCACTGTTCCAAAATATAAGGTGTTTTGGTTTTGTGCCAAGTCAGAACTCTCTAACTTTAGCCAAGTTTATAGAAAAATGTTTTACTGCAATAACAAATAAATGCACTATCAAGACGTATTTCGGTGGTGGGTTTAATGTAACTAATTTGAAGTTGCACCTTACATTTTGGAACAGAGGACTAGTATTTAACCTTTAAATATAGTTGTCAGCATTCAGCAAATAAATAAATAAACTATGTCTTATGCTAGCCTAGTGATTCCTTCATTGAAGTATCATTTGCATAGACATCGATTACGTTTAGTCTGACATCAAGCTTGTCCTGTTGCCATAGCAAGTAGAAACTAATAAATGGCATTGTGAGAAAATCAAGCTGATTAGTCTGACGGCAAGCTTTTACTATTGCTGTAACAACTAGCAATGATAAATAGCATATTCTGAGAAAATCAAGCTTACCTTGTGATATAAATTTCAGTGACAGGACTCCAGCAGCAGCAGCAGAGCAGCCAGTACCAAAGCCAGCGCGACCTGCTACTGGTTCACTTCACAAACAACTGCTCTTGGCGGTTGCAATAACTGGAGTTGCAGTTTTGATTGGATCGATACTGTACCAAAGTAAGGGAAAGTAGTTCTGGGGGATAGTAATTTGACGCCCCTTGATGTATAAATTCCCTCATAACCATGAGTACAGTTTATACCCCAGTTGAAGGGGAAAAAAAGAAGAAAAATGGAGAGAGTACAGCTGAAATTACAACATTTATGAAAGGACCGATGAAACTATGTTCTGTGCTCGTTGTTCTTTGTAAATGGTAATTTTCCCACCAAACTTGTGGGCATTTAATAATCAGTCTGTTCGCTTGTTGGTTTCAGTCAGGGCTTATCAGCCAACCAACAGTCTTTTTTTCTCACAACAAACCAGCACCAGCCGAGCTTATCAGCCCAGAAACCAACGAACAGGCCAAGTCTATGCAAAAATATGGTCTCGTTTACAACCGCAAGACTTGAAGGCGTACGGTCAGTCAAAATAATTTGCCCTAATACGTTTGTCACTCAAAGGTTCTCATCACTTTAATTTTGTTTTTTTTAGCCTTTTCTTTCATTTTCTTCTGCAAGAACGTAAAGCTGGCAGCAAAATTTTAGATGCAGCTAGGAACTTCGTCTCCATCTGAAAGTTTACTACTAGTTCCAGAAACTTTCAGGAATCTGTCATCATGAGTCAATATAGCAAGGACTCTGTTGCCCCAATAAATAAACCACAAATCCACAATCACATAAGCATCTATGATTTTGTCCTTGTCGCATTTGCAAAAGAAAAGGCACGTCATCCTCTTGCATTGCTAAATATCTAAAGCTGCTTTTCTTCTAATTTTTTGCTTTTTTTCAAGTGACTTGCAGTGAATAGTCCGTAGTTGGATGGTTCCATATCACTAATTTTGCCAAATTGCTTGTCGTAGAAGCCCCATAACTCAAACCTGTTTCAGAACCCAAAAAAGAAAAAGAGAACGGTGTCGAGAATTAGCATAGCTGCATACATATATTAACCTAAAACAATACAGGGCATCAGAGAAATGGATTTACCAGTATGCCAAGAACTGGAATGGAGCATATTTGCCGTAGATTTTATCTAATTCCTGATGAATAGAACTGATGGTAGTTGCTCTTTTATGAATCTGCAATAAATTTCAGACATAGTACAGGGCATATTGAAATTGTCAACTATGAATCCTAAAAAAAATGCAAAGGTTCTAGGAGGGGAGTACCTGTTTCAAATGCCTAATTGTCTCAGTATCAGCTGGGATCATGTGGAAGAATCCCATACACATGAGCACATTGGCACGTGTGAAAGGACCAAACCCTGAGATCATTGATAACTCTTTGTCCAATCTCTCGTAGGTGGATCCAACACTGGATGCCTCTTCTGCAGCTGGTACAAACATTTTACGCATCTCTTCAAGTTTTTGTAGACATACCTTCCCTTCTACAAGGCTGCGTGCAAGCATTACAATTCTCTTTGCTCGGTATCCAAGATTACAACTATTGGCTAAAAAATCCTCATCAAGGTTGGCCAATTCTTCCGGCGTAGGGAAATCACTGATACAGCCTTCCAAGTGAGGATCATTGCTCAAGCTAAGCTCCGATGGTTCCAAGGAATCATCTGGACCGATTGCTTCACTTGCAACTGAGGGTAAACAAGACAAAATTTCATATGTTTCCAAATTTGTCAGGCCATTGCCTCCACTTGCCAGTCTTGGACCCTCCAATTTATCCTCTGAAAACCTTGCTTCTAATTTGACACGGACACTCTGTCTCTTGCTGCGCTTCCTTTTATTATGTTCTCTAATTGGAGGTGTCCTTGACTGAAAATCTTCGATGCTGGATGAACATTTCAGCTCCAACTGAAGCTTGCACAGTGCAGTAGCCATTGACAAGGTCCTTGTCCATCTGTAGTTATATATCATACCATTAGTTGCACAAGAAATCATGCTTATAGGATTAGAAATACTTAACAAACTGTATACTGTTGAAGCATTCCACTTTAAATAAGTGTTATCTCTGTCAAGAAATACTCCAGTCTGTACCTGCAATGTCTCATCCTGAAATATAACCCATCGGCTAACAGATAGTTTTATTATCCTCGATTTGGAGCTTGAGCAACTATTTGCAGAAATAGAACCATTTGATAAAGTATAGAACCAGGCTGACAACAGTCTCAAATATGTAAGTTTTACATTTCATTTTATTCACATGGTGCTGATGTTGAACACAAAAAAAGCAATTAGTTTTACCTCTTCAAATATTATGAATATAATACCGATTAAGATACACGATAAAAACTTAGCGCTGATCCATTAGGACAGAAAATAGTTGCTTGAACATTTTGTCAAGATTTACCAAGATTTTACTGTTAACTACTACTTTTTCAAAAAGTATAAACTGATACTTTACTCTAGTTCATAATTACCCTTCCTCATCTCAGACATAATATTAAGTGCCATTTATTTGTGTTGAACTGATCTGTCTTTAACATTGAGGTTTTGCTTCACACGCTTATACCATTTGCAGTGCGAGAATCATATAACGCATCCATTTATATCTCCTGATGTGTATTGTCTAGAAATTCCCACAAGTATTCATCTTACATTTTATTGGATTAGGGAAGAAGAAAATTGCATTTCTCCTAAGATTGCATTTGTCTCCTAGTATGTTCAGAAATTATAATTTGATCTTATTGTTAAAATGGCAAACTTTATGACAAGCTTGGGATTCCATTGATTCTAATCACACATCTCGAAACAAGGTACTATCAGTTTAATTGGTCCCCAGTTTTGCAGTACAGGATATATACAGATCATCTTCTCATCTGTCTTTTGAATTTTTAATTTGCCACCTTCCTAATTTGTCTGTATTATTTCTTTCTGCTACAACTTTGTGAATTCCAGGTTAGACATATCATGGGGAAAAAAGTATGAAAACTACACTCAAATTTGGGAGTACCTTCGAGATGAATACAGGCCAACACAAAGATCTGAAAACCTTGATTTTAAGTTGAATTTTGTTGAGGTAAGACTAACACTGTGATGCAGAACATTCCGTGGTTGAATGATTTTCTGTTAGGAATGTTTTATTGCATGTATTTTGAACTCAGTAGCACAACATCAGATTTCTTCAGGAGATCCTTCCGAACAAGATTCAGATTTCTTCAGCAGCATAACTCCAGTAGCACACACTCAACTGGCAATTGCAGAGGAGGATGCACTTGACCATGTCCTCGAACAGCGTGGGCGAGCGGAAGACGCGCCCGAACCCCGCCTCCCGCGCCGCGGGGTGCATCGCCTGGAACTCCGCCACCATCTTGCCATCCTCCTCCGACAGCCGCAGCATCCGACGCACCTGCTCCTGTGGATACCATACCAAAGCAGGAAATCAGAAGAGCGTCGCTTCGCAGACAGCGCCATCGTCAACGCTCGATCCGGATCCGATCCATGTGCATGCTTACGAGGATGTGGTCCTGGTCGAGCGGGGAGAGCGCGGCGGCGCCATGCACGGCGACGAGGAGCGCGGAGTCCGAGCGCGCGGGGTGGGCGGAGACGCGGGCGAGGAAGGAGACGGAGCTGTCGGAGGCGAGGCGGAGCGGGCGCACGAGCGCGCGGCCGGCCGGGTCCCACCGGTTGGGCGCCATCATGAACAGCCCGTGGCTGCACACGGCCGCCGCCAGGTCGAACGGCGCTGCGGCACCGAGCGGGAGCTCCAGCTCCACGCGGGGCTCCTCTGCAGCTCGCGGTCGCGCTGCGCCGCCGCCGCTCGGGGTTGGCATGGATGCGGCGTGCGGAGCGGCGGCGGGAACCGACAGACTGGCTGTGAACCTGTGATCGAGTCACGGTCGGCTCGCCGGGGTTTTTTTTTTTTGTTTTTTGTTTTGGAATAAATTTATTTGACCGTGATAAAGACTATTTGGGCTGTTTGACTATTGGGTGACAAGCAAGGTGCAGCTTTTTATAATTTAGCCGTTGAAAGTGTTTGAGTTCGGTACGGGTGTGAAGGTGATTCAAATTTAACCAAGTTTCTTGCGAATAATAATATTTATATTTATAGATTCAAATTAATTTAAATTAATTTATTATAAAAATATATTTCATAATCAACCTAATGATATTTATTTAATATTATAAATATTAATATTTTTTATCTATATAATTGTTCACACTTAAGATATTAATGATATCGTGTTAGAACTGTATTTTTTCTTAAACGGAGAGTATAAGATTTATTTATTATGCAGTTTTGAGTTTTGACAGTTTGGTGTGGTTTTGAGTAGAATACAGTGGTAGCTTTGTTTCTTTCTCCATTCAAATTATAAGTTGTTTTAGCTTTTGTAGCAGGAAGTAATAAGTAATAAAATGTTTAATGATGTTGTACTAGGCTTAGGGGTGTTTTGGTAAGGCTCCTCCGGAGAAGACTGAGCCGTTTTAGAGGAGCCACGACGGGCTTCTCTTTTTACCATAAAATACAGCTCCAAACGGGCTCATTCTACCAAACCGTTTGGTAGGGCTCCTCTGGAGGAGCCATGCTAAATAGGGTCTAGTCTTGCATAGCATAGGAGAAGTAATATGCAACATGTTTTGATGTGCATTGTCTTGATCTGCATCAATTTAATATATATCCCACAAAAAAATTAATATGTACATTTATGAGCGATAATAATAGAGTCTTGTACTCTTGTCTAAAAAAAATAGCACCCTAACATCACTTTTGTGGTGTTTAAATCTAGAGGCTAAAGTTTAGGGGTGTCACATCGGGTGTCACATGGTAGTGTTTGGATAGTAATAATAAAATAAATTACACAAGTCCTCAGTAATCCGCGAGACGAATTTAGTAAGCCTAATTAATTCGGCATTAGCACATTTATTGTAGCAACACATTGTCAAATCATAGAATAATTAGGTTTAAAAATTCATCTCGCAAAGTAGTCACAATCTAAGTAATTAATTATTTTTTAATCTATATTTAATACTCTTTGCACATGTCAAACATACGATGTATGATAGGGACTAAACTTTAGAAAAAGAAACTAAACAATCCCTTTTGGTCCACCAGCTAGCCACACATTATCATTCCTTATGTCCTACAGTAAATTTTGCCTTTAAAATATGATTTGAAGCAAAAATATTATAAAATACTCAGCATGTTCAATCGTTGGTTTTAATGATTTGTTAATAGTAACAAAAATCAACACCAACCGAATTACGAAATAAACTACCGCCATCGGGAAAAGTAAGTACAAAGCTAACCGTCAACATGATCGGATCAGCTGCGACTGTGCACTGCTACATCTACAATGCCGCGCATTTGTTTAACTGCAGTAGAAGCGAGCAGAACCGTGTGTCTTTATTAATGATTGAAAAGAAAAGTGACTCATGGAATGACATGGTGGCTCATCTCTCGACTCTTCCCCACTGCGAAACTACCAAACTTTTGTATTGATTGAAAATACGATCCGATACCATCATGGCGATGACACGGTGGCTCATGAACTTAAAACAAACAAATATATCGCGCAGAAAATAAAATTTTCTCACTACATAAACCTTGCTTCATTGGTTCGAACATGTATAGTGTATTGATTTAAGTGAGTCCATCCCATCCATTCCCACATTGATACTTGTTTTTGATAACAACCAAGGGAGTAGAGAGAAAAAAATATATGTACTGTAATTCTATTATTGTTTTTTTTGTAAACATAAAACAAACAAATATACGCGCAGAATAGGAGAACTACACATTGGTTTGATGGATAGTGAATCCATGGGATCTGAGAACGTGATGTACTGTAATTCTATTATTGTTTATTTTTTGTTTAATACTATGCTCGGTAGGAGAACTGCACACAGTTTGATGGCCAGTGAATCATGGGACTGAGAACTCTTGAGAAGGTTTATATAACCTGAATAGTCTGTCTACGTTGGATTCGAAGCATTCGAGTTTTTTAATTGTTCTTCTTCCTTCTCCCGCTGCTCACCGCCGCCGGACCTCGTCCTCGCCCCGCCGCGGGGTTCACTGGAGCTTTGGCGAACCCTAACACACGCGACGGCCTCCCCTCTCCTCCCCGCCGCCAACTTCTCCAGCTCCGACGAGCTCGTCCGTCGCCATCTTCTCCAATTCCGGTGAGCCTCCCCTGGCTCGACCTGGCCCGGCCACCGCTACCACCATTAGGGCCCCTAAACCGCTCTACCACCATCCCCACTGTCTGGCCTGCCTCTCTCCCTCGGCCGGCCCATTCTATACCCGGGAGTTGGAGAAGAAAGAGGGGGAGAGCCAGAGAGGCTCGCCGGAGCCCAAGCCACCGCCGCTATCGTCTTTTGTCTCCGGTGGAGGGGGAGGAGGAGGAGGAGGAGGAGGAGGAGTCAGACACCTATCTCGTCGGCGCTGCCGCCGCCGCCGCCGAAGGAGAGAGAGGAAGGAGATGCGAGTCACCTGAGCGCGGGATCGGACAGTCTCCGCTTCGCCCCCGCGTGGATCCGACGGGCGCAAAAATCGCACGTCCATCCCTGCTAAAACATCGGAGTGGTGTTTAGGAGAAATTTGCAAACATATAACTCTAACACATGGAAGATGGTTGGAGTCCAAATATGCAATTTTCTCAGAGCGGTCCCGAACCCGAAAACGACAATGGCGAGGTTGGGGCAGGCCGGCACAAACAAGGAATCGCGATTGAGCCCAATCGACGGCCGTCTGCTCGAGTGAGCCTTCGGCGGCTGCCGCGATGAGCACGTAGCCGATCTTTCCTGCTGCCCGCTGGCTTGCGCTCCTGCAGTCTTTGCGCGCGCTCTCCCCCACTCACCCACCTACCCCCCTATCCATCCATCCATTCATTCATCACACCTGCCTCCTCCCGCTCCACATCCTCCCCTCCGCCCACCAACTCAGCAGCAGCCAGCACCCCCGCCGCCTCCCCCCTCGCCACTTGCGATGGCGGTCACGCGCGTCGCCGTGGCCGCCGCCCTCTCGGCGGCCCCGCTCTCCTCCCGCCGCCATCGGGTGGCCCTCCCCTCCTCCTGCCGCCTTCTCCCCGCGGCGGCCACTTGCTGCAACAGCCGCGCGCCGATGTCGCTGCAGGCCGCCGCCGGCGCGGTCTACGAGGAGACCCCCGCCTCCTCCCCTCCCTCAGGTGCGCCTCCCCCCTCTAGCATCATCCTCCCTCGGAAGATTCCAGATTGGGCTGTCGTCAAACCGCCGAGTTGCTCGTGCAACTGACCGAGTGCCGATATAGCTACTCGCTGCCTGAGTGCATTTGATCTGTGAGCGGTCGGAGTGAGAGCGGGCTACTAGCAACGTTTCTAATCAAAGAGCGAAGCGTGGCGAAGTAATTGGTTGTTTCGCTGACACTGCAGATGCTAGCAAGGGTGTGGAGAACCTGGTGATCATCGGCTCTGGACCCGCCGGTTACACTGCTGCCATCTATGCCGCCCGGGCGAACCTGAAGCCTGTCGTGTTTGAAGGGTACCAGGTGGGGGGTGTCCCTGGCGGGCAGCTGATGACCACCACCGAGGTGGAGAATTTCCCTGGCTTCCCGGAAGGTATAACTGGGCCTGATCTCATGGACAGGTGAGACTGTTCGATAGCGGAGCCATTCGGTTCGATTTCGATAGTGTCATGTTGGCATGTTACCGTGCTTACATCATTGCCGGTGCATTGGTTAAAACCAGAATGCGCAAACAAGCGGAACGCTGGGGCGCAGAGCTTCACCAAGAGGATGTTGAGTTTGTGAATGTAAAGAGCAGCCCGTTTGTTATTCGTAGCAGCGACCGTGAGGTACACCACGCTGTCGTGCTATACCTCATGCATGTTTGTCCTCTATAATCTGTTTTGGAGTTTGAATTTTCATTTTGCACAAGGTGGTGTTGTATGTGTTATTTGTTGGGCGTTCAATGGATGGTATTAGCATAATTTAACAATCTAATCAAAGATAATAAAGTCAATTGATGATAAGCAAAAAACATAGGAGCTTTTATATAGGGGGGAAATGTAAGAATGCATGTCTACAAGAGCAAGCTTTTGAACTGTATGTCAGTCCAGTGTTTATGTGGTTTACTTGATTATAGGTCTTACACTACTGTCTGGCCTTATGGTCTTTAGTTTTTCTGTTAGCTGTCTCTTGTTTGTAGTTTGTACAATATGTACCCATTTGATATTGCAGACTTCCAATCACCTGGTACTCCTCCTGTTTTTAAATATGTGACGTAATTAGCTTGCCCTAAACATCACATATTTAAAAACGGATAGAGTATAATGAACGCAAACTATTTTAGACATTTTCTTCTCTGCATTAATCTCAGGGCATATGTAGGTGAAATGTCATAGTCTAATTATTGCAACTGGGGCTACGGCTAAGCGCCTCCGGCTGCCTCGTGAAGATGAATTTTGGAGTAGAGGCATCAGCGCATGCGCGATATGTGATGGAGCATCACCGCTGTTCAAGGGCCAAGTTCTTGCAGTTGTTGGCGGTGGTGATGTAGCTACAGAGGAAGCAATATATTTGACAAAATATGCTCGACATGTTCATTTACTAGTTAGAAAGGATAAGCTACGGGCATCCAAAGCTATGCAGGACAGGTAAAATAATTTCAAGTTTTTTCCTAGGAATGTTCTATTCTGTTCACTCAGACTTACTACCAGCAGATTGCCAGCATTTCACTTATCTTGGGCATCAGCACTTATTAGGAGTAATAGTGGATTGAATTACCTTCTTTTAGCTATAGTATATTTTTGTAACCCATAAATCATAATTATGATAGCACAATATTATTTTAGGCTAGG